AAAAAAAAAAAAAAAAAAAAGTTAAATGTGATTTGTGAGGTTTGGATTTATAGCTGTGCCCTCTGTATGATAGGTATGTAGCTTGGTGCATGACACAGGAAAACCCACTTCATGTGTGCTGCTCTTGGTCCAAGCAAGCCACGAACCTCTTCCTCCAAAGTGCTAAATAAGTACAAACTGGATAGGTGAATTGATTCATCTCAAAATGGAACTAACCACAAAGAAGTAACATCAAACATCAAAAATTCATTGAAAAGTTATCACCCTTACCTGCTTACCCTAGGTTGAAGCCAAATTTCTCCATCATTTTGCAGTGCACCACTGGATATGTTTGGGAACTTTGAACACCTTGTTTGCCTCCAAAGCTTTAGAAATAAAAATACCTTGTGAGCACCACAGTTCTATGCAGTTTATTTGTCAACTCCAGCCAGGCATGGTGGTAAGTGACTATAATCCTAGCACTTGGGAGGCTGAGGCAGGAGGATCACCATGAATTTGAGGACAACCTAGGCTACATAGTGAGTTCAAGGCCAGCCTGAACAATAGAGTAAGAGCCTGTATCAAAAAACAACAAGCCCTTGCTCTTCTGTTAATTCATATTTACACATATTTGTGTTTACATCAGTCTCTATATAATCAGTAGATTGTGTTATTAAAAGGCAACTTTTTAGGTAGCCTGGCACAGTGGCACATGTTTATAAGCCCAGCTACTCCTGAAACTGAGGGAGGAGGACCCCAGGTTCAAGGCCAGCCCAGGCACTTTAGTGAGACCTTGTCAAAACTAGAAAGGGTTGGGTCAGGGATTTAGCTCAGTGGTGCCACTGCCTCCCTTGCTAGTGTAAGGTCCTGAGTTCCATCCCTAGTACCAAAAACAAACAAAACTAGAAAGGGTTAGAGATGTAACTCAGCACTTCCTGGGTTCAGTCTCTAGTACCACAGAAAAGAGAATTTTTTTTTTTTTTTTTTTTTTTTTTGGTACTAGGTATTGCACTCAGGTCCTTGCACTTGCAAGGCAGGTACCGGAAACACTGAGCTAAATTCCAAGCCCTAGAGAACTCTAATATTAGTTAGGCATGATGTCTCACACCTATAGTCCCAGGTATTCATGAGCCAGGCAGAGTTTGAACTTAGTCTGGGCAATTTAGTGAGACCTTAATCTAAAAAATAAATTGCCCAAGCTGGGTTCAGACTTGAGGTCCTCCTGCCTCAGCCTTCCACAGTGCTGGAATTATAGGTGTTATCCACCACGTCCAGCTGAGACCATAATGTCACTATGTAATCATTAACAGCACAAATAGTTTTGGTATATTACAGAGCAGCCCCCACTTCATTTTCACTCAAACCTCCCATCCCCCTACCATAAGATTAGAATGACTCTTTTCCCCATTGCTTTATGACTCTTGCTCCATACAAGGACCAAGCCCTTTCTAGATGGTGTTATGCATCGACTTTCCACAGAATCGCGCTTGTTACCCTCATTTTACAATGAAGAAGTGAGGCTTTAAGAGCTTAGATAACTTGCTCAGGGCCCCACAGCTCTGCAGGCTTCCTGCCTCAGACCTCAGGCTAGCTTTCTGCAAGCTCCTCCTCTGCCTGCATCCAGCACACCAAGGGAGGGAAGAGCAAGTTAGGTGCTACCAGAGGGATCAATCAGACAAATCGAGATTAAAGGTCACTTTCATATGCTGAAATATTTAAGAATAACGTAATGTCTCATATTTGCTTCAGAATGAGCAAGGGCTGGGCTGGGTGTAGGTCAGGTAAAGCACTTTCCTAGCATGCATGAGTCCCTGGGTTCTATCCCCAGAACCACAGAAATAATAATAGTCAAGGTCAGTGGCAAGTGGGTGGAGACAGATGAAACACCACTGGTCACAAGTCAGTAATTGTTGAGCTGCGTGAGGAGGCTCATTATCATTAAGTGCTCTACTTTTGTATGGATTTGAAAGCATCCATAATAAAAAAGTAAAATGTTAAAACCTTGAACTTTCCTGAAGGTTTTTTGGGGGGAGGACTGGGGTGCTGGGGTCAAACCCAGAGCCTTGAGCAAGCTACACAAGCACTGTACAATTGAACCTTATCCCCAGCCACCTAAGCTTGTTTTGTTTTGTTTTTGGTACCAGGGATCTGTACTGAGCATGTAATCAATAGGTAGAAACTAATAAAATCAATAAGTTAAAAGTGCCCTGTGTGACTAGCAGCCAACAGCTTAGCTGACAGCTTAGCTAGCTAACAGCTATGACCTAATGCAACTGACAGCTTGAGATAAGAAATATCTGCCTTGCTGTCCTAGACCGTCAGCTGTTAGCTAAGCCCGCCTTGCGACCATCTGCTTCCTTATCTTCCGCCTTGCGACCATATGCTAAAGGGAAACTCCAAAACATTCTCCACCCTACGACCACCTGCTTGACCGGAGTACCTGGCCCGAGCGATAAGGAATAGCTAGGGGTATAAATACCCCTAGCCCAAGACCAGTCGTCGTCGTCCATCTCGACCCGACCTGACTGCCACTCGTCGCTGCGTCACGCGACTTGACCGACTGCTGCCGGAGGCCCTGCTGGAACCGGAGCTGATCGTCACATTGCAGTTCGAATCTCTGCCCGACAGCCCGGCGCTCGGTGTCACGGACTCAGGTCGTATAACCCTGTTACAGCTTATACCTCAGTATTGCATCTGTCTCGATACTGAGGGGAAGGACTAGAATGCTCTCCTGATTGTGGTTGTGACATTTGCTTTGATATTGCTTTGCATTGCTTGTGTGACAATAAAACCCCTTTAAAGACATATCACTTGTAGTTTTCATTACCTCGAGGCGAGTGAGACGTTTAAGTGCTCACAGCCTGGGATCCGACTCCTGTTCGTGCTCGCGACAGGATCGAACTCGGATTCTTGTGCTTGTGAAGCAGGCATCAGAACCACTGAGCTAAATCTCTGGCCCCTAAGCTTGTTTTTGAATGTTGATCATTTTTCCTTCACCCTGAACTTGAACATATGCTTTCATAATGTTCATCACAGAGGATCCCCTCCAATTTCTTCAGTTTATATTACCCTAGTGTGTATGTGACTATACTTACTATGTGTGGGGTGTGTGTGTCTGTGTGTGTGTGTGTGTGTGTGTGACTGGGGATTGACCCAGCGCTTTCACACTGAGCTTGTCTTCAGTCCTTTTGGGGAGGCAGCTGTCTGTCAAATCTGTTTGAGACAGGGTCTCACTGTATAGCCCAGGCTGGCCTTGAACTCACTGCCATCCTCCTGCCTCAGCCTCCTGAGTGCTGGGATTACAGGCATGTACCACCGTGCTCTGCTCTTGTTTCTGCTTTTCATTTTAGATGCTAAATTGCCCAGGTTGGGTTTGAATTTGTAATTCTCTTACCTCAGCTTCTCAGAGTACTGGGATCACAATACCCAACTGCATTTATTAAAATTTTTAGCTGCCTGCCTCACAAGCACAAAGTCCTGAGTTCAGTCCCCGGTAACAAAAAAAAAAGACAGTAATTTAGGGCCGGAGATTTGGCCCAGTGTTTGCGCTGCCTGCCTCGCAAGGGCAAAAGCCTGAGTTCGATCCCCGGTACCCAAAAAAAAAAGAAATTTTTTTAGTGGTCCATCAATTCTAACATCAAGAATTTATCAGGCTAGGGATTTAGCTCAGTGGTTCCACCTCCTGCCTCGCAAGCGCAAGGACCCAAGTTCGATCCCTGGTTACCAAAAAAAAAAAAAAAAGAATTGAACCTGCAAATGCACAGTAATCATATAGTTTACAAAGACCTACACTTAAGGATAGTTTCAGCAGAGTGTAGTTGTGCACCCCGGTAATCTCAGCTACTCTGGAGGCAGAGAGAGCAGGGTCACAATTTCTAGGCCAGCCTGGGCAATTTAGTGAAAAGCTGTCACAAAATAAAATTTTGAAAAGGGCTAAAGAAACTAGGCACAATGGTTCGTGCCTATAATCCCAGAACAGGGAGGCTGAGGTAGGAAAGTCTCAATTTCAAGCCCAACTTGGGCAATTTAGTGAGACCCTCCAATTTTATTTTATTTATTTGTTTGTTTATTTTGGTACCAGGGATCGAACTCAGGACCTTATGCTTGCGAGGCAGGCACAGTGCCAATGAGCTAAATCCCTGGCCCAAGACCCTCCAATTTTAAAAGGGCTGAAAGCTGGGGGTAGACAGTTGTTTCTTGGTCAAGAGGCTGGGAAGTTTAGGATAGATATGAAACTTAGCTGTTCTTGATTACTATAAGACTTGGCCTTGTTTTAAAAAACCGTAGGCAAGGATTATGCTTTTATTTTGTTTCATTTTGAGACAGGGTCTCACTTTATAGCCCAGGCTGGCCTCCAACTCACTGAGGTCCTCCTGCGTCAGTCTCCAGAGTGCTAGGATCACAGGTGTGCAACACCACACCAAGCAGGGTTATGCCCTTAATTTATTTTTTTTTAATTTCAGCATTTGCCTTCCTACCAGATTACTTTTTTCCTTAGGCTATTTGCTTTTCTTTGTTTTGTTTTTTTCACCTGCAAGGCTGCACTAAACCACTGAGCCACACCCCCAGCCTTCTCAGCCTTCCTAGCATGGACCACTGCTCAGGTACCTTGGCACCTGCTGCACTCTCTGCCTGGAACGCTCTGTCAGAGAGCAGATGTGGCTGGTTCTTTATCAGTCAAGTCTCAGTTCAAATGTGACTTCCTCAGGAGTCTGTCCCTAACCACCTAGTATAGCATATCAACCTTTTTTTTTTTTTTTTTTTGGTACTAGGGATTGAACTCGAGACCTTGCACTTGAGAGGCAGGCGGCAGAACTACTGAGCTAAATCCCTAGCCCTCACCTATTTTTTTTTTCATGCCTTTAACCCCATTAAACAAATCTAATTTAGCTGGGCGTGGTGGCACACACCTGTAATCCCAGCACTTGGAGGCTGAAGCAGGAGGATCACTGAGTTCAAGACCAACCTGGGTTACATAGTGAGTTCCAGGTCAATCTCAACTACATAGTGAGACCCTGTCTCAAAACAAACAAACAAAAAATCTAATTTGAGGACAGAGGAGGGGGAGATATGGTGAAAATGATCAGGGTATGTTACGTGCATGTTCAATCTGCTAAAATAAGGCCCACTAATCAGTATAGCCAATTTTTAAGAGTGGAAAAATACAAATTTACCAATGAAGATGTCAACAACAACAAAAAACGTCTGGCATGGAGCTGGGTGTGTAGCTCAATGGTAAAGCACTTGTTTAGCATGTGCAAGGCCCTAGGTTCAATCCCCACCAAAAAAAAAAAAAGTAACAAAAAAAAAATGGTCCACATCCATCAAATGTCCAACGCCCAGAGTGAGCCCGGCGATGAAGTAAGGGCTTTAGGTGGTTATGATGCCCGTGCAGGCTCCTCAGCTATAGCAAATGCACCCTGAGGTGCAGGGTGCTAGGAATGGGGAGGGCCGAGTCTCGGGGGGGGAAGGGAGGATACATCTTTGTCTCAGTTTTGCCGCAAACCTAAAACTGCTCTGAAAAATAAAGTTAATCATCTTGCTCATTTGCCTGTTACTTATTTACCATCTGTCGCCCCACCAGACTGCTCACTTCCTTTGAAAGCCGGGACCCTGGGGTGAGTTCACGGGATCCCAGCTCCTACAGCAGTGCCTGGATCCTTATCAAAGCTCAGTAACTATTTGTCCAGTGAAGAAATAAATGATTATTACTGTTGATTTAAACATTGTTCTCTTGAGTGCTGAACTGGCAGTATTCATGTATATGTAAAGTGAGGCTGGAATTGATCAACCGGGAAAATTCGGGCTTTTTTAGGAAAAAACCTTCAATTTTGGCATCTCGGTGGAGATCTTGGCACTGCCTTCCCCATGCCTACAGTGTCTGCCAGCTTCTGGCGCTGAAAAGTATTGTAGAAGCCCTGCTTAGTTAGCAGACCCCTAGCCCAAGTCAGTGAATTCCCCTGGCACTCTACCCAGCAGATACTCTGGTCAGAAAAGTTGTTGGGATCAATTCCAGTCCTGTCTGGCTCGCCACAGTGAGTGTCACTGCCCACAGTGAGCAGGGGAAGCAGACCTGGGAGGTGGAGGGAGGAAAGAAGATCTGTCCACCACTGAACACTTCAAATGGGCAAATTGTGACTTACGTCTCAATAAAGTTGTTACGTGTTTTTAAGCTGTCCAGAAGAAACTAGATGTGCATTCAGGAGGCCCGCATCTTGGCTCCCTAACTATAGAAAATACAGAAAGAAAAATGTATGAGGATGTTTCCCTGGTGGTAGATTGACATCTCAGAAAACCAAGCACTTGCCTGGGTGCTCAGGATCTGGGGCCAGAAGAAAGTGGGGGAGCCCAGCAGGAAAGAGGGATTCCCTGCTCTGTCCCGTGTCACATCACAGGGCATTTTCAAACAGCCTGAGTGAGGATTCTACTCAAGAAAAATCAAAGACTTTCAAATCGAAAGCTTCCCACTGTGTTCCATCCGGTCTGCAGAGCAGAGCTGCCTTTACCAACATTAATGAACACAAATTAACTAGTTTGGGAGCCAGCTTTCAAAAACACCTGCTGTTCTTACCCTTCTGTCCCTATAACAATCTATTTCAAGCCCCATGGCCCCAGCCCCCCTTTCCCTGTGCCCAGTACTGTTATTTCTGCCTTGCAGAAAGGATTGCCTTTGCTCCAGGGTTGACTGGAACAAAGCAGTATGGCCTTCCTGGAAATGATCTCCCCATTGTAGATGCAACCAAAATAGCATTAGCTCCACGCTTAATAACTGATACACTCTTCAACACCAACTGCATTTTCTCCAAATACAGGATTTAAAATACTATTTTTAAGCCGGCCGTGGTGGCACATGCCTGTAGTCCCAGAATTCGGGAGGCTTAGGCAGGAGGATCGCTGTGAATTTGAGACCAGCCTGGGCTAGATAGTTCCTGGTCAGTCTCACTACGTAGTGAGACCCTGTCTCAAAAAACAAAACAAAGCAGGGCTGGGGATTTAGCTCAGTGGTTCAGTGAGACCAGCCTGGGCTAGATAGTTCCTGGTCAGTCTCACTACATAGTGAGACCCTGTCTCAAAAAACAAAGCAAAGCAGGGCTGGGGATTTAGCTCGGTGGTTCAGTGGCCTGCCTAGCAAGCGCAAAGACCCGAGTTCAATCCCTGGTACCAAAAAAAAGCAATAAAATGCTATTTTTAGGGCTGGGGATTTAGCTCAGTGGCACTGTGCCTTCCTTGCAAGCATAAGGTTCTGAGTTCGACCCCCAGTACTGCAAAAACAAAACAAAACAAAAATACTATATTTTACAGTTGGGCCAGGGATTTTGCTCAGTGGTTCCGCCACCTGCCTTGAAAGCGCAAGGTTGTGAGTTTGGACCCTGTACCAAAACAAAACAAAAAACACAGTATTGAATTTAAGAACTTCAGTTCTTAACTGTGGTTAAATGTCCAATTCTTGTGTGTGTAAGATCTCATTGCCTTTCTAGATTGGAAAAACAAAAACAAGCCTCAAAAATTTGCCTCCATTTACTTTGAGCACATTTTTTTTTTTCTGGTACCAGGAATTAAATTCCGGTCTTGTGCTTAGTAAGACAGGAGGCAAAACCACTGAGCTGAATCCCCAGCCCAACATCCTTATGTGTTATTAAA